GGGCGGGGCGGCGCGAGGCGAGGCGAGGCGAGGCGCGCGTTTGCACCGGGAGCCGTTCAGAGTCGAGGCGCGGGAGCTCGGGAGCAGAGTCGGATCCTTAGCCCGCCCCGCCCCGCGCCCGGATGAGGAGCGATGCTGCTCGGTCTGGCCGCCCCTCGCGTGCACCGCGCGGGAGACAAAGCCCGCGCGCCCCGCTCATGGTAAGTGGGCGCCCCGCGGGCGGGCCGGGGCCTGTGGGTGGGGAGTGAATGCACAGCCTCTACCGGGGCGATCTGGGGGCGAGCATGAGACAGAAGGGGAACTCGGGCGGGAAAGCCTCTGGAACTGGAGAGAGGGCTGGTGCTGGGCCGTCCTACAGCCGTCAGTGGCAGCTCGCGAAACGAATGCCTGTGATGCTCTCGGCCGCCCGCAGCGGGCCGGGCCTTGGCGGTGCCCGCATAGGTGGGCGGCGGCGGCGGCCCGGCGCTGACGGGAGCGGGGGCTCCCCGAACCCAGGCCCCTCCGCCGAGCCCTGGGGAGAGCCCGGCGCAGGTTTGAACAGACAGCTCGGGACGCTTAAGGGGTCTCCTGACGGTGGGGGTCGACCGGCCTCTCCGGCTTGAGGCGCGGAAGGCTCCTGGGGACCCCCTTTCCGTATGTAGGTCACGGCTGTTCGCTCCCCCCTCAACAGGGATGTCCCCCGTTGGAGAGGACCGTAATGGAAGGGATGGCGTGGGTAGCTGGTCGTTTTATTGGGGGAAGTGCTTTTGGCCTGAAGAAGTCCTCTTGATTCCCCAGCACCCCGGGACACCTGCCTCGGGTGCAGTTCCGGTGGCGACTGGGGCGACGGAGCGAGGGTTTGTTTCCACCCCTTATGGCGTCTGTCCCCGAGTCGGGTGCTGAAATGGGCCGCGCTCGCAGCGTGCTCATCCCAAGACATTGGGGGAGCTTCGGTTTAATTTTTTAATTCTTAGAAATAATAACAAGGGCGGGGTGGCGGGGGAACAGAGGTGTCACTGGAGAAGCCTTATGAATTTAAAAATAAGGAGGACTTGCTAATTTCTTTGGATCTTGGGCTGGAGTATTAGGAAATCCAAAAATGTTAAAAGTTTGATCGAGTGATAAAGTGGATCGTGGACACCGGTTCTCCCAGTCTCTTCCCAGACCCCCGCCGCCGCCGGTTTGCTTCGCTTTCTGTTGCCGCCTAGACTGTAAAAGGCTGGCACAGGGCCGGCCGTTTCAGTCAGAGCAAAAGGTCTGCTGGGCTGCGCTGGTGTTCCCCATTACAGCGTTGTCAGTCCTGTCCCCTGCGCATGAGTCCTCGCTGTGCTGCCTCCTCCTCCTTGTGCGACAGGAAAATCCAGTGGCAAACGCCTCAAGGAGGCCGGGAGGGGACCCAGGCTCTTTGGCTGGGGAAATCCTTTTACTGATTTTTGCCTGGTGCCGGGGAAGGGAGCCCCCGCCCTCTGATCTGACCCTGCTCCCTGCAAGGGGCTACCGTGGGAAGAACCGGGATGATCAATAGAAAGTCGTTTTCAGTCCTAAGAAACAGGACACTGGACATGTAAATTATGAATTGTTTATATAAGTGTAGGCTTGGCTCAATTACCAGTCATGATAAGACAGGGTTACAACACTTAATAAACAGCAGGTGTGAATATAAATGCAAGGTTTATTGTGATGCATTGCTAGTTAATGAGTAGCCTCACCACGGGGTTATTGGACTGAAATGACTATTTAGGACAATGGACTTCCTGTTTGCTCCTCCACCCACACATGGCTCCAGTCCTCAGTCTCCTTAAAATGAAATTGCTCAAAGGAAGCCTCTGGAAGATCTTTGGCCAGCTGAGAGACACACAAAGGATCATTCCCAGGAGAGCCGCGATTGGCCAGGCAATTCATTGCCTTTGACGTTTCTCAGTCAAGTCGACGGCAGAGAAATGAGAAAAAGGCTTTTCCCGTATTCATTTTACAGTTTTTAAAGCCAAAATGACAGTACCAGAAGCCCCCCACCCCCAATCTCAGTACCTTCTTCTGATGGATCTGGGCACTGTCCTCTCATCCCCCTGGTCCCTGGAAGCAAGTGCCTGGCAGCTGTCCCAGGATTGTGTATAATGTTGTCACACACACACACACACACACACACACACACACACACACACACACACAAAACTACTGCTTACTGAGGGAGGCAGCCAAATGGCTGAGGAAAGACTTAAGTCTATTAGACAAATCATTCTCATTTGTAGCTACATCTCACCATCACATTTTTCTTACCTTGTCTCATTTTTGTTCTATTTGAGGGAGGGAGAATGCCTAACAATGCAACACATGTTAGTAGATTACCCTTTTTTCTTCATAGAAGTTTGAAGCAGTGTCTTTAAGGTATTACCTGACTTATTCTCGGAACACCCTTATGAGCATACACTATGACCTAATCTTGCAGATTTTTCCTGGTTTTATTTGGTATTTTTATTCACTCTAGACATACTCAGGCATAAAGAGGCTCACTATTCAGATAAAGAGATTGTTCAGTTTTCTTAAGCCAGAAAATGAAATTTAACTTCTCTAACATGCCAAAAATACTACAGAAATGTCCTTTCAACAATAGCCAGCAAAGGCTTTTTAACTGAAAATCAGAGAGGCTGAATGATATCAGAAAACAAAAACAGATCAGTTGTAGTGTAGAAATTAGCATAACACTGCTAAAAGGCTTTAGCTAGCTGGTTAAAGCCAATGGAGAATAAACCAGGGACCCTTAAAAAATGATCAGAAGTGAAAACAAAAGCAAATGAAATTTACCTTTAGGGAAGAAAGTAGAGCCAAGAAATACCACTGAAAGAAACAAATTCCGGCAGAGAAGACAATGGGTACTCAGAAAGAGATCCTTGCAGCAAGCTAGCTGGAGCATTCCAAATCACTTTAATTGTCAAGGAGCTTTTGTTAGGTCACCTGGCGGCTGGTGTGCAATCAGTTGTCCAGGTGGAACTTTAGCAAACAAAATGGCAGGTCTTGTGCAGATGGGGGAGAAGGGGTGTGTTGAAGATATAGTGCTTGTGGAACGGGTCCTGGGTGTCCACGGAGAAGTGAGGACATTTATATAGCTAGCAGAATCCCTGAGGTTCCCAGGTATCTGAAGCAAGTGAACAATTCTGTCCTAGAGGACCAGGCAGCGGAGGGAGCCCAGGTTAGTGGGGTGAAGGCGGGACCAGGCTTCAGCTGGTGCACCACGGGAATGAGCTCATGTAATCCTTATGGCGGACCTGCAGGGTTTCTCTTTACCAAAAACACAACGGTGACCACAGTGTCCTTTCTCTCCAGGAGTATTCTGGCCGTGTATTTGTGGACGGTGGTGACTCTTAACTAACCAAGGAAAAGCATATACTAATGGGAAGTGAGCGATGGAGATGTGGGGAGGCTCCCCCAGGACTGCGCATGCGTTCCCTTCCAAAACAGAAGATTTGTTCCTCTTTCTTCATAGGCTTCTCAAACCATTTCTCCCTGGGTGGCTGGGTTGGGTCTCTCTTGTGGGATCTGCGCTGTGAGGCTGAGGAAGTAGATAGAAGAGACGGAAGGTAGAAGAAATGCTTTCAACATCCCTCTGGGGCCCGAGGCAACCTCTCGCCCCATCAAACGCATGCGCAGTGCAGAGCACTTGCGCTCCATCCAGAAACTGAGCTTTCTGCTTTCCTTTGTTCGTCCCTATGTGTCTTCCTGGCGCGCAAGTCCAACTTAAGCTGTGGGATCTTCTCTTCCACCCACTCCCAGGGTCGCCACCGAGGAAGAGGGGCAGGGCGACAACAATGGCAGAAAGGAAAACACTTTACGTTGTTTCAACAGTTTTCATCAGAGCACATTTACAACTACAGCAAAAGGTGTCACCATGAAAAGTAAATGCGCCCCCACAGTCCCACCACCCGAATTCAACTGTATTTACTACTTTCGGTGTTTCATCACACAAATATGTAAAATCGAGAGATTTTTGTCAAAGCAATACACAAGTATGAAGGTCCAAGTAGGAGAAATGGAATTAGAAAACAGGACGGAAAGAGCAAGGGTGTTTTTTGGAGGGTAGAAAGCAGAGCAATGTGTGGAGGTTGCTGACGACAGCCTGTTTGTTACAAGTAGGTTATTCTCGGTGATGGCCCCTCGGGCTCTGTAGCCCGGGTTCTGGACTCTGTCAGAGAGGCAAAGACAAGGATGGCAGACAGTAGGTGCTACCAGGACCTCTGCTGCTGGAGAAACCCCTGACCCACTGTCACAGTGGCCTCCTCTGTCCCATCTTTCCTTATCTGTATGAGGGGCCAGGCATATCCAAGAATTGTGTCCTCCTCTGGAGCGTTTTTCCAGCCTAATTCGGGGAGGCATCTGTCTTGTCCTGTTGCTTTGGAGTACCTGCTATGCATACCCTTTATGGAAGCTGTAGGAGGGGGAAAAATCTTTTCCTCTACGCTCTTAGATTCAGTGTCTGGGGCATGTGAATTAAACTGATGACAGGAGAGATTAACAGGAGAAAAGATTTCCCAATTAATGGAGATTATTAGGCATAAGCATAGGAGCTTCACAGGAAAGAAGAGGAAATCCAAAGAAGTCTTAATACCATCTTAACAAAGGGAGATGCATTGAGAGAAAGTGACAAGACAAAGAAAAAGGGGTTTGAGTTTCTAGGGGCAGTAAATTGTGGAAAGGTAAAAATGTGGTGAAAATTAATGGCAGATAAAGATTATTTTAGTAATGTTTATCTGTGCGAGCCCATCTTGGTGCTGACTTCCTCCAGTGGCACTGGTTACTTTCCTTCTGGTATGGGTGATGGGAAGGGAAACACCTTCAGAAAGGGAAATTTATGCCCCGCTTTTAGGTAGAAAGGGAGAGACCAGAGAGTTCCTCCTGTGTCTGCTGTTTTTTAATTGCCTTCAGCTCAAGATAATCCTTATGCCAAGGTGGCATATTTTGGGGTGGTATATTCTAGTTTCCTTCAGAATTTCCAGCAGAACCTTTCCTCAGCACAGTCTGGAGCCCAAAGCCCGTGGCATGCTACACCAGCATGAGTAATCCCGATTTGCTTTTAGTTTCTGCTCATCAGTCTTGGGAAATTTCTGGGTTTGTTTTTTTTTTTCCTGTGCTCCGGTTGACTTCACTTACAACCCAGGGGCGCCACTGGTCTGTAGATAGTTATTTACCCCTTGACACCTGCGGGGCCACACGGATGAGGTAGAGTCAC